GATCTTATGTAAAGTGTAGTGACTATGTATTTTGTAGGCAAAATAGGAACATCGGAACAGGAGTAGGCCAATCAACCCCTGTTCTGTTATTCAATTAGATTATGGCTGATCTCCAATTACTCGCCTTTGCCCCATGTCCCTTGATACCCTGACCTGACAAACATCGGTCCACCTCAGTCTTGATCCAGCATCCACAGCTTTTTGGGGGAGAGAGTTCCAGATTTCCACTACACTTAGCGTGAAAAACTGTTTCCTGATTTCACTCCTAAATGGCCTGGCTCTAATTTTAAGATGATGCCCCCCCTTGTTCTGGATTCCCCCAATAGATAGAAATAGATAGATGTTTGAGGAGTTAATCTGAAATAAGTGATAGTGAGCGTGGGAGATGTGAGCGTGACAGTGGGATTAGACCAATTGATGTGAAGAAAAATGACACAAATGATTTTAATTAGAATTTAATTAGAAAAACTCCCTGTGTGTCTGTCCTGAAATTGTCCTTTGCAACTCTAAACCTGTGCCCGTTTCTTCTACAGTGAATCCTAAAGTACTGATTCAGGTTTACTTTCTAGGTTCAATCCCATATAGAATGTAATACACCTCTATGAGATCCCTTCTTGAATCTGTTGAAAAAAAACAGGATTTTCACCCCCAAATTGCAAATGGGAGCATATCTCCTGCCCCCATCCTCACCCGTTGCCCCACCACCAAATCGCCCAGGAATATGTTGAACAGAAAATATGATTCAAAATTGATCTTACAAACTGCAACAACAACTTGCATTTATATAGCGGCCCCTCACACAGAGTAGGGTCCCAGAGCACTTGACAGTGGCAGAGCCTGACGTTGAGCCGGGGGAAGAAGGAAGATCACCATAAGCAACGGTCAAAGAGGAAGGGCTTCAGGCGCGACTTGAAAATGGGGAAGGAGAGGGCAGAGGCGAAGGGATTGAGGGAGAGAGTTCCTAGCGGCTGAAAGCGCGGCCGACGATGGTAGAGCAAGAGGCATGAAGGACAAGCAGGAGGCCGGAGCCAGTTGAGCGGAGGTGCGACCCGAAGATGGGGAAGGAAGGGGCGAGGCAAGGCAAGGAGGGATTGAGGGTGTGGGTGGATGCGGGAAGCATAAAGGAAACGAGTGGAGCATTGGCATATCGGTGTGTGCGTTGGTACACATTGCTGCATTGAGTAGCGGGCACGTTGCGATTTCAGTAGTTGTCAAAGGCGTGGTAATTCTGCTGGTCAGGGTGGATGATGAAGGTTCGAACCCGCTTGGTGTGGACGGTCATCAGGACGAGGACTACTATCAGCAGCACAATGCTCAGAAAGACTCCCAGCACGAATAGGGCTGTCATTGCCGAGCTTTCCTCCTTCTTGTCGACCACTGGCATCACACCTGTTGTAAGACATAAACCGTGAGGATTCTAGCCAGTTCCTTTATGAATCATAATCATCACCCGATTTGACGATGATGATGTTAAAAATAATAATAAATAATAATAAATAATAATAAATAAATAATCCTTGGATTTGATTTAGCGCCTTATCACGTCGTCGAGACGTCCCAAAGCGCTTCACAGAATATAATAATGATAATAATAATCCTTGCATTTGATACAGTGCTTTTCACCTCTTCTAGACATCTCAAAGCACTTCACAGAATATACTGTAATGCGAATTGACTGTAAATTTGTGGGCGAAATGCGGCAGCCAATTACGTACAGCAGCGTCCCACAAACAGTCATGAATTGAAGTGACCAATTTAATTATTGTTTCGTTTTGTTGAGGGATTAATATCAGGCGTGTGGAGTAAGGAAACTTGCCTATAGTTTCGCCCTGTGGGGAATCAAACCCAGGTCTCTCACTGGTCTCTAACCACGGAGCTAGAGGACTCCTACTGCAAAGTGAATGGATTGTATATTTTGTGGCTGAAATCCTGCAGCCATTGCGCACAGCAGTGTCCCACAAACGGTTGTGGATGGAAGTAACCAAATTATTTTTATTTATTTTTGGATGGAAATCTGCCAATCGCTTAACGATCAGGTTGCTGTTGAGACACCGTCCGGCGTGGAGGGCGCTATATAAATCCAAGTTGTTGTTGTTGTTGCTGCTGTTTACTGCTGGGTAAACAGAGGCATGAGAGTAAGGAAACTTGCTTAAGGTTTTTCCCTACCCAGGAATTGAACCCAGATCCTCTCGCTTGCTCGGCGAGTGTTCTACCCAATATGCTACAGGATTCCACCATTAATATTAATAGATTTCAACTGGTATGAACATGAACCAGCAAAAGTGACATCAAGAAACAAAATCACAATAATCTGGGATTCACCAGTCCATACAGACAGGACAATCAGCTGTAACAGAACAGATATTATATTAGAGAATCAAATGGATTGTACATGGGGTGTTATTGATATGGCTCATTTCAAGTGATTACAATGTGAACAACAACAACAACAAGATTACATCTGTATAGCGCCTTTCACGTCGGGAGGACGTCCCAAGGCTCTGGACGGTGTACAGCATTTCAGACCCGAACTGTTAATTTAAAACAGACATTGTTCCTATGCGTAGTCATACTTCTTGGCAATCTCAAACCATACCCTCCTTGTTCTGCTGACACGATGTGACATAGAAGCGATGTTCTGGGCTTAGTCTCTTAATCTTGAAATCTTGTATACACACCTTGTATGACTCCTGAATGAGGGCCAACTTTCTCCAACTCAACATCAGCAAGACTGAGGCCCTCCTGATTGGCTCGCTCCAGCACCTCCACACCTCCACGGCTGCACACTCAACCTCACTAAACCAGTCAGAAACCTGGGCGTCTTGTTTGACCCTGAACTGTCTTTCCTTTCCCACATCCACGCCATGACTGGCACTGCCTACTACCACCTCCGCAACATTGCCAGACTCCGCCACTGCCTCACCCCTCAGGCTGCCCCTCAGCCACACATTCGTCACCTCAAGGCTCGATTACAGGAACTCCCTCCTCATTGTCCTTCCCAACTCTTCCCTTCACAAGCTGCAGATCGTCCAAAACACTGCAGCTCGTGTATTCTCGCGCACCAGGCTCCGCGACCCCATCACTCCCACCCTCGCCCGACTCCACTGGCTCCCCATCCCCCAGAGGATCGAGTTCAAGATCCTCGTCCTCACCTTTAAGGCCATCCATGGCATTGCCCCCTCCTACCTCTCTGACCTGCTGACTCCCTACCAACCTGCCCGCTCCCTCCGTTCATTGGGCTCCGGCCTGCTCCATGTCTCCCTCCCGACCCGCCCTACCATCGGTGGCCGGGCTTTCAGCCTCTCTGCCCCCACACTCTGGAACTCCATCCCACGGTCCCTTCGCCTCACTTCCTCCTTTGCCTTCTTCAAGACCGGTCTCAAGACCCTTCTCTTTGACCGTGCCTTTGGTCTCCCTCCCACCTCTCTGCCTTCCCTCACCCCTACACCACCCCTCCCCCATGCTCAGGCCCCCGACATCTGACTGTTCAGTGCTTTGGGATGTCCTCCCGACGTGAAAGGCGCTCTATAAATGTCATTTTGGTGCTGTTGTTGTATACAATACAATACAATACATACTTTATACAGTGCCTTTCACATTGGGAGCTTGACAATTCTGGCTGGGCACCGGCACTAAGAGTGAGAGCAGTGAGAAGGGAAAGATGACCGAAAAGCATGGTCAAAGAAGTTTTGAGACGTACATTGAAAGAGGAGGGAGGCAGCAAGTCAGAGGCATCTGAGAATAGAGATCCAGAGAGCGGGTGCCAAGAAGCTGAAAGTCCGTCTGCCGAGGGTGGGGCAGATCAAGTGGGGGACGTGGAGTAGGTCAGTGCAGCCGAACGAATGGAACGACCGAGTTAGTAGGGGTGAAGGTCGGTGTGGGGGTAGGGGGAGGGATAGAGATAGAGTAGGGGCAAGGCCTCGGAGGGGTGTAAAGTTGAGAATGAGCACCTTGAACACGATCCGCTGGGGGATGGGGAGCTGAGCAAAGATATGGGGGTGATAGGCTCGCAGGCTCTGGTGCAGGAGAAGACACGGGCTGCAGCCTGTGCAGCGGGAGAGTTGGGGAGTGCACAGTGTTAGTTGGCATAGTCGAGGCCGGTTGTAATAAATGAGGGTCTCGGTTGCCCAGGTTGATAAGAGGTAGTGGTGGAGGTGTCTAATAGAAGGAAGGTGCCCTCTGACACGTCTCTTTTTAAGTCCAATAAGCCCAATAAAAATCACTCGTCACTTACCATCATTACCCAGGCAACGAAGAGGCCCAAACGTCACCTCGCTTTCTGCCACGACATCCACTGCATTCTCCAAGGATCGCAGACCGCTGCACACCTGTTCAGACACAGAATGGTGTTAAATACAACAGCTTTTATTAATGATAATAATTGACCAGTTGATCAAAACTGGTGGGGTCCTGTAGCTTAGTGGTCAGAGGACTCGCCTCACAAGCGAGAGGACCTGGGTTCGATTCCCGGCAGGGCAAAACGTTGAGTAAGTTTCCTTACTCCACACGCCTCAGCTTACCTAGCAGGAACCCGGTCATTAGGCGATTGGCAGATCGCTTTTCCTGGGGTAATAATCCCTCCAAAATAAGAGGTAATAGTTTGGTCATTCAATCCACACCTGTTTGTGGCACACTGCTGTGCGCAATTGGCTGCTGCGTTTTGCCCACAAAACAAAACAATCATTTTATAGTATATTCTGTGAAGCACTTTGATACGTCTCGAAGATTAGGTGGTGATGTTGAACACGATAAGTAAAGACTGATAGAATGATTCAATGGGCTGTGGTCACATGTGTATTCTCAATCGCACAATAACAGAGCTAAATTCAAGTGCCTGTCTGACCGACCAGAAATATGTGGACAAACATGATCTTGTAGACTTTCAGAGTCTGGGCTTGCGCATACCTATGCCTGATAATCTCTGGAGTTAGGTAAACAGGGTGCATCCCTCAGGGAGGGAATTTGGAATGCTCAGTCTTGTCCGGATACACTTACCCACATCAGAAACCCTTCTGACAAGAAAAAACTCTCATCGTCATACATACTGGTTTGCATGTGGCATTGTTGGTTTCTAAGCAGATCTGAGCCTTGCAGTGTAAGTAGCAGAAAGGCATCTGAACGACCGAAAACATTTTCAGACTGAATCTCGCTGAGGTGGAGTTTCCGTTTTCAAGTACCATCGCCTGTGTCTCTGGAACTGGGCACCTGAGAGGAGAAAAGGGGAAAAGGGACAAGTTACAGGGGAAAACATTGGCAAATATTGTGGGAAACAGGACATCCGCAAAACTGGAAAAATTTACCATCCTTTGCTCCAGTCGACCTTCTGTGTTTGATTGCTCGTTGGTCACTTTGGGCTTTCTATCCCTTTCCTATCCTACCGCTTTGAAACGCTGATGCGTTTCATATCAAAGGTGTCATATCAAATACAAGCATAATTATTAATAAAATTATTTTTAAATTTGGAGTCCTGTAGGGTATTGGTTAGAGGACTCGCCTCGCAAGCAAGAGGACCCGGGTTTGGACCCGGGTTTCGCGGGGCGAAACCTTAGCCAAATTTCCTTGCTCCACGCACACACCTCTGTTTACCTAGCAGGAAGTTATAACAACAAGTGATAAGGAGCTACATCAAATGCAAGGATTATTATGATGATTATATTGTTCTCCCGAAGCCGTGCGTCTTACCTGTTTCGAATCAGAGCATGTGTGACCTCATTGACTGAATCATTGGCCGGGGATGTCCAGCACTCTGCCAAGACCAGCCTGGCCCTGCTGTCCGAAGCCTCGGTGGACAGATGAACGACCAACTCCTTGTTCGATGTCAGGATGGAATCATTCGCCAGCGGTCGGTTCCCACTGAAGATCTGAACGTGGGTCACGTAATTCCCCCAACCGTGCACATCCATTACGTTCATCCTTTGAACAAAAGGTTCCAGCCGTTAAAGTGCTTCGCTGCCTGAAATCTAAACCTTGAAAGGCATGAGGGAGCAGTGGGGATGGAGGTCGTTCGGGAGAGCGGAATAGGAGGGACGCGGCTTGTGCAGTGTATAAACACCGGCAAAGACTGGTATGGCCGAGTGGCTCGTTTCAGTGCTGCAACATCCTATGTAACTCCAGCGCCCTCGCCTCGCAAGGGAGAGGACCCGGGTTCGATTCCCGGGGTGTATGAAATCCTAGACAAGTTTCCTTATTCCACACAACTCTGTTTAGCTAACAGTTAGTAGCAACCCGGTTGTTGGTCGATTAGCGGAACGCTTTCTGGAGGTAATAATACCCCAAAAATTGTTCACCCAATCCACAACTGCTGTGTGACTGCTGTGTTTTGCCCACAAAGTACACGGTCGATTCACTTTACAGTATTTCCTGTGAAGTGCTTGGTGACGTCTCAACGACGTGATAGGGCACTATGTCAAATGCAAGGATTATTAGTCTCATTATTATGAGGATGGAGGAGGTCATTAGGTGCTGTAGTTTCTATGTGGTATGATGGCGGCGTGAATATAGCGGCATAAAAAGAGGGGAATGTTTCGATGACACAGAAACCCAAAGTGCGCAAATTTAGCTTTCCCCACGTAACCTCGCAATGTCTGTAGTGGGGTAAGATGTACAGCATTTCATACCCCGTTAGGCACAAGGAATGCATTACGAAATGTTGCAAACTTCGCCCCGTTCATGTGCATCAGAGTTCCTCATGTCTGCATAAAACCTACTGAGATGGGGCAGCGTGAGCAGACCAGGCCAACCCATAACAATGCAACTCGGTTGATAATTCCACTGGACATTTAAGCCCATTTGACCTCCCCTCTTCCCTCCTACCCAACTCGCCCCCTGCCCTTCATAGTATCAAGCTGTCTATTGAACCATGCCTGGTACCATGTTTTGGAACTCTCTCCCTCAATCCCTCTGCCCCCTCTTTTAGATCACGACTGTCGACCGTGCTTACGGTCATCTCCGCCCTCCTCCCAGCGCGGCATTGTGCTTTACCTCTTCTGGTTGTCGTTAGCAGACAAGAGGTTGTTGTCAAACATGCACATCACAGGCACCTGGAGGTCACCGCCAGCAGATGAGGCGTCCGAGGAAGGAGCGTTATGCAGTGTGGTTCTTACCACTGTGTGGGTGCCATTCTGCAATTAACACACGTCAGCGACGTGAGTAAACCCGGAATAATACATGCTGAACAATACCTTTCGCCCAGAAAATACACAGTCAATTCACTTGCTGGCGAAAGGTTCATTGACCTGAAATGTTAGCTCACTGTGTTCTCTCCATAGATGCTGCCTGACTTGGTGAGTGTTCCCAGCGACTTCTGATTTCATTTCACTTTCCACTGTACTCTGTGAAGCGCGTTGAGACGTCTCGAAGATGGGATATGGCGCTACACCAAATGCAAGGATTATTATTTATTTTACCAACCCGTCCGCACCCTCTGATTGGCGGGCAAAGCCCTGCTCCATGCCCCCTCCCCCCTCCCACCGCCCTGCCCGCCCACCATTGGCAGACCGGCCTTCAGCCTTTCTGCCCCGATCCTCTGGAACTCCATCCCGAATCCTTCCACCTTGCCCCCACCCTTGCCTCCTTCAAGGCGCATCTGAGTACCCTCCTCTTTGACAGTGCTTTCAGCCACACTCCCACCTCTACTTTCCCGACCCTCCAATCCTCTTGATCCCAATCCCCAGGTCGGGTGCAAACCAGTAACTGTCCAGCACCTTGGGACATCCTTCCAATATGGAAGGCACGAGATAAAGTTGTTGCTGGGAAGGGTGGGTGAAGCCTGGACGCTGGGACTCATTTCAGAAACATCTTGATGCTGTGATGGGAGAACAGTAGGGGTGGGTGTCACATACATGACATTCCTACTTGGGAGAAAGTCCCACAATGTCCCGCAATAGGTCATGAAGCGAGCTCTTTACCTGGAGGATAGCTGGCCTCGACACAGGGATAAAGCCCCCGATAGAAAGTAGGGTCAAAATTCTGTTTGAAACAAAGCTGCTTACGTCTGATAACCGAGTGGCACAATCGGTCCATTCCACTCTGAGGGCCACGTGGGTCAGGTTAGCGACGCTGTGGTTGCACGGCGGCTCCCCCAGATACAGAGAGGATTCGGGGATGTCCATCTCCTCCAGCCACCATCTCGGCACCGAGACCGAAATCTCGTGGGCTTTGCAGGTCACCGTCACCGATCCCACGACCAGTTTCGCAGCAGCTGGCTCGGACGCCGAGGTCTTCGTGCCCGGCAGTGAGGGAGGAGCAGAAGGTTCTGCGGAAATAGCTTGTTAGTTCTACACCATTCTTTAGTTCTGACCATTATTTTTGTCTGACACATGTCAGACCCAGAGGTTAAGAGTATCCAAACCACACTGAGAATCCCTTGCATCCCACCTGCACATTGGAATTTCAGATAGTTGGAATGGATTGCACTCTCCCTCTCCCTGGAGGGACACATCCTGCTTACCTAATTCCGGAAAGTATTAGGCACAGGTTGGCAAGGCTTGGGGGGGACCCCAGAGTGTGCGCTGGGGTAACTGCTGGAGTCTAACCAGCTAAAACTGCTTAGCTTGCCATTGAGAGCACAGGCAAGGTTCCCAATGCTGTCCAGCTAGGACCACCCGACCCATTAGGACTTTGGCTTGCAGGGTTAACAGGAGCTGAGTGGGATGACTCCTGGCCTCCAGTGACTGGTCTGCCCTCCCCAGGTCCTGCCAATGAGCCAGGCCGGGGCTGTGCTGTCATGCGCAGTGCCCCGGAAATACTGCGGACCCAGCCGGCTCATGAACAAGACTATCGAGACCGCCACAGAGGGCTGCCTCGACTCTGACACTCCGCTGCCCGATATGTCATGTCGGAGTAAGTTCAGCTCCAAGGAAACTCGGCGAAATTCCTCTCCCTCGTGCAGGAAGGGACACGAGCTGAGGAGCTCTGAATGGTGCGCGGCTTGTGAAGGGAAGAGGCGGATAGTCCAGCCAGCAGGGAGTTGACGTAATCTTGCTTGTCTGCGGCTCCTTTCTGTGTGCCACATCGGCGGAAATGTTTCTTGGCCCTGCCCTGTTACCTGTTGTCACGCTGAGCTCTCTGGCCGCGCTCTCCTGCTCGCACGCTCCGGAGGTGACGCTGACCGTGTACTCCGTGCCCGGCTCCAATCCTGACACCGCCCACTCCAGCTCGGGGGTTTGTGTCTGGCTCACCGCCCTGCTGCTCGCTGACACCCGCACGGTAAAAGTTCGCTCTTCCCTGGTGTCTGTCGTCCAAGTGACTAGAAACCCTCTGCTGGTGACAGCGGACGCTGTCAGGTTTACAACCGGGGATGGAGCTGCGGGGAAAGACCAGCGAATTAATGAAATGGGCGCTCAGCGCAGGGCAGGACAGGGCAGGACAGCTAGGATGGGCAGCTCAATTTCTAGTGTGAAGAGCAGAGTCTAGCACCCTCTACCCCCCGACAATAGTATGTGACAGAAAAATGGGTTGATATTATAATATATAATATAATAATCCTTGCACTTGATATCGCGCCTTAGCACGTCTTTGCGACGTCTCAAAGCGCTTCAGCTTCACAGAATGTAATGTAAAGCAAACTGACTGTATATTTTGTGGGCGAAATGCGGCAGCCAATTACGCACAGCTGTGTCTCACAAGCAGCCGTGGATTGAGTGACCAAATTATTATAATTTTTTATTTGGAAGGGATTATTACCCCAGGAAACGCGATCCGCCAATCAACTAACAGTTGGCTTCCTCCTTACCGCTAGGTAAACAGAGGAATGTGGAGTAAGGAAACTTGTCCAAGGTTGCGTCCTGCCTGGAATCGAACCCAGGTTCACTTGTGAGGCGAGCGCTCTAACCACTGAGCTACAGGACTCCACGTGAAACAAGCGCTCGTTTGAATCCTCAAACATTTGATTCGGAGGCGAAAGCGCTACCAACTGGCTGACACACAAATGTTAGGTGGACGCAATGAAACTAAATGCCAGTCCTCACGAATGGGGGGGATAACAGCAATAATAATAATAATAATAATCCTTGCATTTGATATAGCGCTTGTAACAAGATACAATGCACATCATTACTTACAGCACGGAGGCACCTCTGTATATGGAAAGGTGGCTTGGAATCCAAATTTGTTCAGGTAGACGGTCATTGTAGAGACAGGTTCAGCGTTGGATGCTCTGGCTGTGCTGCTACCTGGAGTGGGTTCTGTCCAAGTATACATTTGACAACATTAGGTGGCTGTTTACAGGACTGGCTAGCAAGGAATAATAATAATAATAATAATAATAGTTGCATTTGATATATCGCCTTATCACGTCATTGAAACATCTCAAAGTGTTTCATGGGATATACTCGAGTGCTCCAACCAACACGCTACAGGACTCCACAAACTCTACGAATCCAGAGGACACCCGCTCTCACATCAGTCAATAGTAGCTGCTGCGTCAATCATGAGGTGGATGGGTTATTGTGAGATTCTATCACACATTTGTTAACTAGGAGTGCTGTAGCATAATGGTTAGAGCACTCGCCTCGCAAGCAAGAGGACCTGGGTTCGATTCCTGGATGGAAAGATTCCTTACCCCACACGCCTTTGTTTACCAAGCAGTAAGTAGGAACCCGGTTGTTAGTCAATTGGGGGATCGCTTTCTGGGGGTAATAATCCCTTAAAAAACATATATATATATGTATATGAATATAAAAAATTTGGTGATTCAATCCACGACTGTTTGTGGGACACCGCTGTGCGCAAATGGCTGCCGCGTTTCTCCCACAAAATATACCGTACATTCTGTGAAGCACTTTGAGACGCCTCGAAGAGGTGAAAAGGCGCTCTATCAAATGTAAGGGTTATTATTATCATTATTATTATTATTTTCAATATAGATCTTAACTTATTTGTCTGTGTCGATCCTATCACAACGTAAATATCCCGAGCCCTGCCCTGTTACCTGTTGTCACGCTGACCTCTCTGGCTGCGCTCTCCTGCTCGCACGCTCCGGAGGTGACGCTGACCGTGTACTCCGTGCCCGGCTCCAGTCCTGACGCCGCCCACTCCAGCTCGGGGGTTTGTGTCTGGATCACCTCCCTGCCGCTCGCTGACACCCGCACGGTAAAGGTTTGCTCTTCCCTGGTGTCTGTCGTCCAAGTGACTAGAAACCCTCTGCTGGTGACAGCGGACGCTGTCAGGTTTACAACCAGGGACGGAGCTGCGGGGAAAGACCAGCAGGTTAATGAAATGGGCGCTCAGGGCAACACAGCATGATGCCACGGTCATCCCAATCACATGAGAAGGGCAGATGAAGAAGACCCTTTGGCCCATCTAAACTCATCCTTCCAGAATACCTGCCCTCCGACCCTCCCAATACAGCATCGAGCTGTTTCTGAAATGAATCCACTATCACGGCCAATGCACTTTACAGAATATTTTGTGAAGTGCTTTGAGACGTCTCAAAGACGTGATGAGGTGCTATATCAAATGCAAGGATTATTAATAAATATATATATATGATAAAGCACGTACAGCAGGGAGGCTCTTCGGTGTATGGGAAGCCGATGGGGAACCTGGAAGTGTTGGGGTAGATGGTCAGAGTGGAGACTAGACTTGACCTTCTCGGGCCCGACGCACCAGTTACAGCCTCCATTGTGATTTCTGCCCAAAACAAAAACAAAATGGGTTAATTTACCCCCGAACTCATGCTTATTATTTATTAGAATTATTAGGATTATTATTGAGTCTAACACAGCACCTTTCAAGCTGGGAGGACATCTCAAAGCTTTCACTGTGAGGTTGAGTGACCTCGTATTTACTGGGCCAACGGACACAACAGCCAATCTGCGAACAGCAATGTCCCCTCAAATAGCCGCGAAGTGAATAACTAAATTTTATTTGGGAGATTGTTGGCCAGGACACCGGGAGAGAGAGAAACTCCCTTCTCATTTCGAGTAGCGCCGCGCGATCTTTAACGTCCACTCGAACGGTCAGACGGGAACCTCGGTTTAACGTCTCAACCGAAGGACGGCACCTCCGACAATGCAGCACACACCGCCATTGGAATACGAGCGTAGACTCTAGGAGTTCCACGTAGTCTGCATCCATACAATTGTTTTACGAACGTTTTCTTTACCTCTTAATTTGCATAATTCATTTTAATCTCTTAATTAATCTTAATCTCTTAGTTTATATTACATTCGATTCATTTCTTAATTTCCTTTTCGACCGGGCCTTCGGTTTCCCTTTCCCTGCAAACCTCCTGAATCCCAATCCCCAGCCCGGGTCCAAATCCCTGATCCCCCCCCCCTCCCCAGCCTGGATCCAAATCCAGCGCCTTGGGACGTCCTCCCCACGCGAAAGGAGCTGCGTAAATGTAACTTGTTGTCGCTGAACATCGAACGTCAATCGCTCAATCTTCCTCAACGCTGTACTCTTTCTTACCCGTTGTTACGATCACTTCTGTAGCCGCGCTCTCCTGCTCGCACGCTCCGGAGGTGACGCTGACCGTGTACTCCGTGCCCGGCTCCAGTCCTGACGCCGCCCACTCCAGCTCGGGGGTTTGTGTCTGGCTCACCGCCCTGCCGCTCGCTGACACCCGCACGGTAAAGGTTTGCTCTTCCCTGGTGTCTGTCGTCCAAGTGACTAGAAACCCTCTGCTGGTGACAGCGGACGCTGTCAGGTTTACAACCAGGGACGGAGCTGCGGAAGACAAGGAGTTGTAAAAAGGAAGGCTTGTGTTTATACAGATGTGGAGTCCTGCAGCTCAGTGGTTAGAGCACTTGACTCGCAAGCGAGAGGACCTGGGTTTGATTCCCCGGGCGGGGCGAAACCTTGAGTAAGTTCCCTTACTCTTCACGCCTCTGTTTAAGTAGCAGTAAGTAGGAACCCGGTTGTTAGTCAATCGGTTTTCCGGAGGTAATAATCCTTTAAAAAAGATTCAATTAAAAAGGATAATAATAAGTTGGTCACTCAATCCACGGCTGTCTGAGGGAGACACTACTGTGCACAATTGGCTGCCGCGTTTCGCCCGCAAAACATACAGTCAATACTTGACAATATATTCTGTGAAGCGCTTTGAGACGTCTCGAAGATGTGATAAGGCGCTGTATCAAATGCAAGGATTATCAAGGATTGTTAAACACTGTGCTGGAGCGTCAGCCCACACCTTGGGTTCAAGACCCCACTTGAGACTTGATGCCGCAACCTTCTGACCCAGCAAGGAGAGCGCTACCGATGAAGCCAGGCTGAGACAGACGTCTGGATGAGCAGCAAGAATGTCCGTGTAAACACAATCACTGGAACTTACAGCATGCGGAGTCAAAGCCAGCTGGGAACCTGGAGCTATTCAGGTAGATAGTCATGGTGGAAACAAAGCCAGTGCTCGACAATCTGGAGCTGGAGATGGATGTGAGGTGACTCACGAAGGTTTCTGTCAAGAAAATAAAATCAGAGAGTTTTACTGGTCATTTACAAACCAACAAATGTTCACACAATCACAAGAGAGTGGAGTTTTGTGGCGTGTTGGTTGGAACACTCGCCTCGCAAGCGAGAGGACCCGGGTTCGATTCCCGGGCAAGGCGAAACCTTAGGCAAGTTTCCTTACTCCACACGCTTCTGTTTACCCACAGTAAGTAGGAACCCGGTTGTTAGTTGATTGGCAGATTGCTTTTTTGGGTATAATAATCCCATAAGAAAAATTTGGTCGCTCAATCCATGACTGCTGTGCGCAATTGGCTGCTGCATTTCGCCCACAAAGTATACAGCATATTCTGTGAAGTGCTTTGAGACGTCTCAACGATGTGATAAGGCGCTATATCCAATACAAGGATTATTATTCCAATGTAGCGTTGAAGGAAACACTGCATTGTTGGAGGTGCCATAACATGACCATCTGAACTGACTGCAAGGTGACATACTTGGCAATGGAATGTAGGAATGGAGACAGCCCTCTGTGACGTTCTCTAGTCCGGTTCCTGAGCCAGGAGGATTTGTAGTATCCCAGGGCACTGCTGATGACAGCACAGCCCAGCCTGGCTCATCGGCAAGACTTGGAAGGGCAGAGCAGTCAATGGGGGCAGAGAGTCATTCTAGACCCCTTTACCACCCATTTGGGCTTTGGCTCGTAAGGTGCTGAGCGGGAAGCTTCGCCCAGTGTTCATCACATTGCTTTGGATTGGCACTGGATCTCTTCCCTCATTGCTCCCACTGAGAACTCCCAACATCAGCTACAACCAGGCGTCGCCTACCGGTCGATCACCGCTCGGTGGCGCTGTCGAAAGTGGTCAAAAAGACCAGAGGAAGGAGCAATAGAATTGTATAAATATTTAGCCCCATTGAGAACGAAACCAGATTCACAAAGTATTTCATGTATCTGGAAATAAAAATATAAACGTTTCTGTTTAAACCGCAGTAAATCCTGCATCGGTCCTTCTTGTTTTTATTGAGCACATGTGAGATGTCTCCTCGCGGCGATCGACCAGTTGGAGGCCCCCGAGCTACACCGTCACTCGGGAATCCCGTAGTGTAGTGGTTAGAGCACTCGCCTTGCGAGCGAGAGGACCCAGGTTCGATTCCCAGGCAGAGCGAAACCTTAGGCAAGTTTCCTTATCTTCCCAAATCTCTGTTCACCTACTAGTAAGTGGGACACCGTTTGTTAGTCGATTGGTGGATCGTTTTCCAGGGGTGATAATCCCTCAAAAACAAATTGGTCACTCAATCCACGACTGTGGGACAGTGCTATGCACAATTGGCTGTCACGTTTTGCCCACACAATGCACGGTCAATTTACTTTACATTATATTCTGTGAAGATCTTTGAGACGTCGCGAAGACATGATAAGGCGCTACATCAAATGCAAGGATTATTATGATTATTTTCACACAGAGGCTGCCATGTATACTCTCTGTGGCAACTCACCAAATCATGTGCCGAATTTGAGATAGTGCCTTTGACATCCAAATCTCTCAAAATGCTTAGCGGCAATTACTTTCACGATTTGTGGCGATTTGTAGGTAAACATAGCAGACAATTTGCATACAGCAGTGAGGTCCCGCAAAAGCTATGCTGCATTCTCCTATGTTGCCAAAGGGATCTTTGGTGTCAGCCTCAACAGGAAGATGGGACTACAGTTTAAGATATCAGCTGAAGGATGGCACCTCTGACAATGTAGAGCTGCTGACAAAGCATCTTAGGTTCCCCAACATATCTAATTAGTTGTTCTGTTCGGTTACCTGCTCCTGTGAACCCAGCAAGCCAAAGCGCTGACAGGTAAGGTGGTCCTAGTGGGAAAGCTTGCCAGACAGTGCCATCGATGGCAATTATGCGGTTTTAGCTGGTTTGACTCCAGCAGTTACCCCCAACGCACACTCTGGGGTCTGTCCCCAAGCCTTGGTTCTTGTCAACCTGCGCCTAATACTTTCTGGAATCAGGTAGGCAGGATGCATCCCTCTGGGAAGAGAGAGAGAGAGTGTGCATCCCATTCCAACAATCTATCTCTGGGTTTTCCATGTGTAGGTGGGATGCATGGAATTCCCAGTTTGGTTTGGAGACTCTTAAGCACGGTGATGGGTTTGTGCATGTGTCAGACGTCTGACCAAAACATTTCTTTTTTCCCTTGTTACCTGTTGTCACGCTGAGCTCTCTGGCCGCGCTCTCCTGCTCGCACGCTCCAGAGGTGACGCTGACCGTGTACTCCGTGCCCGGCTCCAGTCCTGACGCCGCCCACTCCAGCTCGGGGGTTTGTGTCTGGATCACCTCCCTGCCGCTCGCTGACACCCGCACGGTAAAGGTTTGCTCTTCCCTGGTGTCTGTCGTCCAAGTGATTAGAAACCCTCTGCTGGTGACAGCGGATGCTGTCAGGTTTACAACCGGGGACGGAGCTGCGGGGAAAGACCAGCGAGTTAATGAATTGGACGCTCAGGGCAGGACAGGGCAGGGCAGGACAGGCAGGACAGGGCAGGACAACTAGGATGAGCAGCTCAGACATCTCAAAGTGCTTCACGGAATATACCGTAAAGAGAATTGACTGTATATTTTGTGGGTGAAGCGCGGAAGCCATTAGCCCACAGCAGTGTCCCACAAACAGCCATGGAGTGAATGATCTAATTTGTTTTAAAAAATTGGGAGGGGTGGGAGGGGGGGTAACATAACCTCCGGAAATCAATCCTCGGGAATATAACAAGCGGTTTCCTACTTGCTGCTAGATAAACACACAATTGGAGTAAGGAAACTTGCCTAAGGTTTGGCCCCGTCCAGGAATCAAACCCAGGTCCTCTCACTTGCATGGCAAGTGCTTTTGGGACTCCAATCTTATTCCCAATATATACATCATGCTGAACTTCCAGCTGTGCTGTTGTTCCAATCGAGGGAACAGCTGACGAATGACAGACTCAAGAGCTTCCCTCTATTTTGTAGAGCTGGGCTCAAATATTCATCTGGAATGGTCCGCTTTCAGAGACCATCTCAAAACGACAGGACCCGTGAAGGGCTGCTGTTCATTACCAGTGGTTCACGTTTGCACCTCACTCACCACAGGATCTGTCAGGTTGAGGTAAGACAGGAGGAAAATGACTCCGTGGTATTGAGTTTGATGACACCTTGCTTATCTCAGTGTAAGGCGTGGAACTAGTGGGCAGCCCTCCAGGTGGGAGAATTTTGAGACCTGGCACTTTGAGGCCACATTTGAGGCTTGTGGCCACATTTTTTCTCATTTTTCACGTTCTTTCAAATTGTGACACAATAATTAGAATTTNAAAATACTCGCCCTTACAATTGATCACAGGATTTCCTGTAAAGTGTAGTGACTATGTATTTAAAGGTTTCGTCCCGCCCGGGATTCGAACCCTTGCAAGGCGAACGGGCGAAGCTCTACGCTATGGGACTCTGATTAAATAAGATTAAATAGACTATTACATACAGCATGGAGGCACGTATAAGTATGGGAAGCCGGGTGGAAATCTGGACGTGTTTAAGTAGACGGTCATAGTAGAGACAAGGCCATTCTTGGACGTTCTCTGGCTGGAGGGAACAGCATTGGCTGCAGATTCTGCAATAAATATACAGGAGGCTTTAGATGCGGTTATACGATTCAACAAGTGGGAGAGACTAAATATACTTATTGCACTTCAAACAAGATTGAGGCCAGGACTCTGGAACTATTTTTTTGGACAGTCGGACACATGCGGAAACCCATCAACCACAGCAATAACAAAAGTACATTTGTATAGCGCCTTTCACTGTGCTTAACAGTATCCAAAACAAACTGAGAATTCCATCCGTCCCACCTGCACATGGAAACTCCAGCGATAGATTGTTGGAATGATATGCGAACATTTTCCCTGGACGGATGCATCCTGCTTACCTAATTCCGGAAAGTATTAGGCGCATGTTGGAAAGATGTAAGACTTAAGGACCCCAGAGTGTGCGTGGGGGTAACTGCTGGAGGCTAACCAGCTAAACCCACATGGCTTGTCACTGTCTGCACTAGTTGAATAAACAGCTCAATACTGCAAAATTATTCAACAATAACAAATTTATCTAGCGCTTTCTACATCGGGAGGACATCCCAAAGCGCTGGATCCAGGAAGGGCTAGGATTAAAGCTGATATCGGAGATGAAAGGATATAGCTGTGAGGAGAGGCTGAAGAGCATTAAAACTCTTCCCATTGGCACAGAGAACATTGGAGAGTAAGGTGATAGAGGATTTAAGATTATGAAGGTGAATGCAGAAACCCGATTGCACACAGCAATGTTTCACAAACGAATGACCAATTTTATCTGGAGGGTTGTTGGCCAGGACACTGGGAGAGAAACTATCTTTTTTTTTTTGAGTAGTGCCATTAACAATGCAAACCACCCTCCCCCACTCCACCAACCTCCACCCCACCACCCACCATTTTACTGAAATGTCATCTTAGACTATGTGAGTTCAAGTCCAGCTGTGGGGTTTGAACCCACAACCTTCTGCCTCAGAGGCAAGAGCGCTAACCACTGATTTGCTGTGAGAGCAGCCAAATGGGGGACATTTCACGGAGAATTGGACAACAGAGGAAGGAGATCTAAGGGGACGGTGATAGAATTGGGATTAATCCAAGAAGCCAGGCTTCTTGGAGGAACATAACCCAGGCACAAAATAATGGGTTTAGATAGCTTCCTACTGTGTCATTGATACCTATGGTTTCTCAATGAGCCAAAGGGCTTTCTTCATCAGTAAACAATGTATAAGAATGTACGAATTTGCTAGACGAAGCAAGACTGAGGTCCATCGAGTTCGCTGTCCACCATCCTGGCATGTCATGTCCCAAACAATATACTGTATCCCGAGAAATTAATCAATCTAATTTGCTCTTGAAAGAATTGACACTTTCTGCTTCCTCCGTCTCCCGAGGGAGACTGTTCCACACGATTACTACTCCCTCACTGAGGCAGTGTTTCCGCAGATTTGTTTTGAATTATCCCCTCCCGCTTTCAATCACAGGCCGTGTCTTCTGGTTGTAGTGTTCTGGGCAGGACAGAAGAGCTTGTCATGGTCTACGTTATCTATAATCCCTTTAGAAACTTAAAGACCGTAATCATATCGTCCAGAAGTTTTGCATCCACATCGGCGGAAGTGTTTCTCGACCCTGCCCTGTTACCTGTTGTTACGCTGAGTTCTCTGGCCGCGCTCTCCTGCTCGCACGCTCCGGAGGTGACGCTGACCGTGTACTCCGTGCCCGGCTCCAATCCTGACACCGCCCACTCCAGCTCGGGGGTTTGTGTCTGGCTCACCGCCCTGCCGCTCGCTGACACCCGCACGGTAAAAGTTCGCTCTTCCTTGGTGTCTGTCGTCCAAGTGACTAGAAACCCTCTGCTGGTGACAGCGGACGCTGTCAGGTTTACAACCGGGGATGGAGCTGCGGGGAAAGACGAGTGAGTTAATGAAATGGGCGCTCAGCGCAGGGCAGGGCAGGGCAGCTCAGTCAGGAGCGTGAAGAATACAGCGTCAGAGGGAGTTCCCTTTACTACGTGACAATATTGAGCAAAACAGACATATGGCGTGCCATGCGATATTTATCACCAGTGACGGTCATCACTTCAGGTGCTATAACCACAATTTCCACCTTGAACTGCAGTCACAACATCTGAGCATTTCTGGGGAGTTTCAGGGTGGCTCGAAAATACCTCCTACCCACCCCCCAACTGGGACCTAAGGACGTATTGGTTAGCACAATCGTTCCACAAGCGAGAGGACCCAGGTTTGATTCCCGAGCGGGGTGAAACCTTAAGCAAGTTTCTTCACTCCACACGCCTCTGTTTACCTAGCAGTAAGTAGGAACCTGGTTGTTAGTCGATTGGCGGATTGCTTCCTGGGGGTAATAATCCCTGATAATCCAGAATATAAATAATAATAATAATTTTTTTAAGGGATTACCACCGGAAAGAAGCAACTCAATCCACGACTGTTTGTGGTCGCTGCTGTGCTCAATTGGCTGCTGCGTTTCACCCACAAAATACACAGTCAATTCACTTTACTGTATATTCTGTGAAGGGCGTTGAAATGCCCTAACAATGTGAGAAGGCGCTAAATCAAATGCAAGGATTATTATTATTTTAATAATAATAATTATTATCTTAATAATAATAATCCTTGCATTTGTTACAGGCTTTCACATTGGGAGGATGTCCCAGAGTGTTTTACAGGATTTCATGTGCAACAGAGTATTTGTGTTTGTAAATACGCAGTAAATAAATACTAAGTAAATAAATACCCAGTGTTTGCAAATACCCAAAAACTCAGTTTGGCTACAAATACAACAATACAAGACCCTGAAAACAAACCCAATACATAAATCAGATTCTGTGACAGTTGCACAGAAACAGAGTTGAGGAGAGGTAGACAGACAGGTCACGTACTGCAGCCTTGTTCAGGTGGAGCAAAAGCTGGAGACCTTTTCAATTCAATGAGGGCTGAGGTAATCCCATCCTTGCTAGATCGTGTTGTCTTAGAAGGCGGGACTGTTGTGCTTACATCTGCGAAAGAGAAAGACAAGGATGATCTGGCCAAACCCCTTTGCCTGAGACGGATTAAATACAAACGGTAGAGTCTCAGAGACCCAAATTCCAGCTACTCTTACCATGCAGCACCTTTTTTTAAAACCATAATAATATTAATAATAATAATAGTCCTTCCATTTGATACAGCGCTTTCCACGCACAGAGGGCGTCTCAAAATGCTTCACAGGATTTACTGCAAAGTGTAGCGAATGCGTGTTTTCCATGCAAACGCGGCAGCCAATTTGCAAACGGCAAAGTCCCACAAATGGCCAATTTCATCTGGTGGTATTCTTTTGGGGGGCGGGTGGGTGGGGGTCAGCCGGGTGTCTGACACATGCCGAAATCAATTACCGTACTCAAGAATATCCAAACCAAACTGAGATTTCCATGCATCCCACCGACACATGGAAATCCCCGAGATAGATTGTTGGAATGGATTGCGCACTCTCTCCCTGGAGGAACGCATCCTATTTACCTAATTCCGGAAAGTATTAGGCGCAGGATGGCAAGAGTCAAGGCTTGGGGGTTGGGCTGAGGAGGTGTTGTTGACAAGGACACCGGGAGAAACTCCTCTTTACAGATTGCGCCACAGGATCTTTAATCTCTACCTGAACAGGCAATACAGGGAACTTTAGTTTTGAAGTCTGATCCAAGGGTCGGCATCTCTGTCAATGCAGTGCTCCCACCAGGACTGTACTGGAGAGTTCAAAGTTTTGATGCGGGGCTTTTTGCATTCCAGCTTTAAGGTGGTGGAAAGTTGTGGAAATTGTGGAAAGTCCTTCAAATCATGTCTCGTTCCCCCATTGTACACGTACACACACACACACACACACACACACACAGAAAGCTACGCACTCTCTAGGGGTGAAATCAATAAGTACTTTTTCACATAAAGGGTAGTGGAAATCTGGAACGCTCTCTGGATCCATTAAAACTTTCAGCACTGAGATGGATAGATATTTGTCAGGTCAGGGTATCAGGGTATATGGGGGAAGGGCGGGTAATTGGAGTTGAGGTACAGATCTAATAGAATGGCGAAACAGGCTCGTGGGGCTGAATGGCCTACATTGCATTGGCACGTTGCCCAAATACACTTCTATGTTTCTCTAGTGAAAGGATCTAAAATAAGGATCATGTACTAAAGCAGTGTATTAGGGCAACACCTTAAACCCTAACCCTAAATAATCCTTGCATTTGATATACAATACAAAATTACATTTGCATCGCACCTTTCACGTCGGGAGGATGTCCCAAGGCGCTGGACAGTCGGGGATTTGGACCTGAGTAGGGTGGGGGAGATTGGGTTAAGGGATCCGGAGGGCAGGGGAGATAGGAGGGTGGCCGAAGTCACGATCTAAATGGAGGGTCTTGAGACATTCTTTGAAGGAAGCAAGGGAGGGAGAGAGGCAAAAGGAAACTAGGATGGAGTTCCAAAGGCTGGGGGCGGACAGGCTGAAGGCCCGATCGCCGATGGTGAGGTGGTGTAGGCAGGAGCCTGCTGCCAATATGGAGCGGACAGGTTGATAAGGGGTTACCAGATCACGGAGGTAGGAAGGGGCAAGGCCGTGGAGGGCCTTGAATGCGAGGATGAGGATTTTGAACTCTCTCCCCTGGGGGATGGGGAGCCAGTGGAGCCGGGCGAGGCTGGGATTATAGCCCCTAATCACGCCACTGAATATACTGTAAAGTGAATTGACTGTGTGTTTTGTGGGTGAAACTCTGCAGCCAATTCCGCAGAGCAGTGTCCCTCAAACAGTCCTGGGTTGAATGACCATTTTTTGGGGGGGAGGGATTTTTACCCCCAGAAAGCGATCCGCCAACCGACCAAGCCTTCTCCTGTGCTGTAAGTGACTGCGGATCTGTTATCTCTGTGAATACTGACCTGTGCATTCCCTGCCTCTGCTGGAAGGCTGCCTGACTGTGAAACCCTCCTGGCACGTGCAGTTGTGAGAACCGTCTGTGTTCACACACCTCGCTCCCCCCGAGCACGAGTTCAGGGCCACTTCGTCACATTCGTTGACGTCTGCGGATCAGATCAGGCGGATCAAGAATCAGCAAACAGGTTCTCCCCTGGCACCAAAAGGTGTGTTTGTGGGTGTGTGCCCCCGCGCGTGTGTGTGTGTGTATATGAGTGGGTGGGTGGGGATGTAAGGCGGTGTTAGTTATGTAACAGAGAGTCTCATTTGTGATATTTCTTAATGGGTTCCTTAATGACAAAGTGTCGGAATAGGGTTCCCATGGGCCGGGGGACGGTGGTGGGGAGGGGGGAATCAAAATGACGGTGGTGACAACGACGACAAAAACCTGCAGTTATACGGTGCGTTTCACAGGATAGCGTCTCGGAGCTCTGTACAGTGGAGGTTGGATGGCGAGCAAGAGAGAAGGGGGAGTGAGAGGCGACCGTAGGCGCGGGAGAAGAGCGGGATTTAAAAATAGATGGACGGTGCAGCGAGGAGCGGTGGACATCACCAGGAGGTCCAGAGATTAGGGCATAGTGGCTCGTGGAACGACATGATGAACGTCTACTTAATGGAATCAATCATTATCATCGTCTTCATTCCACCTCCACCCCCCAATGCCCCCCCACACTCCCCACCCCTCGATTGGAGGGGTTCATAGAGGGAATGGCAGGAAAGAAAAGAGTGAAGCTGGGACGCGACAACTCGTTCCAGGGCCTCGGAAAGGAACGGGAGTTTGGAAGTGGGGCGATAGCTGGCGAGTAGTGATGGATCCAGGGAAGGTGTTTTGAGGATTTGGGTGATGACAGCTATTTTATAGGGGTGGGAACAGTGTCAGTGGATAAGGAGAGGTTGATGATGTCCGTTAAAAGAGGGGCCAGGAGGTGGAGATAGGACGTAAAGAGAGGGGTGGGGAATGGAGTCGAGGGAGCAGGTGGTGGGCTTCATTTTTGAGATGATGGAGGTGCCTGCCTTAATAGCAAACTGAGAGTTCCAGGCATCCCACCTACACATGGAAATCCCAGAGTTAGATTATTAGAATTGAATGCGCACTCTCTCCCTGGAGGGACACATCCTGCTTACCTAATTCTGGAGAGTATTAGGCACAGGTTGGCAAGAGCCAAGGCTTGGGGACCCCAGCGTGTGCGTTGGGATATCTGCTGAAGTCTAACCAGCTAAAACCACATAGGTTGTCATCGAGAGCACTGTCTGTCAAGCTGTCCCGCTGCTGGTCCAGCTGGGACCGCTGTACCCGTTAGGGCTGTGGTTTGCAGGGTTAACAGGAGCTGAGTGGCGTTGTCACCACTGCATCTTAACACAGCATCAGGCTTTAATGCATCACAAACATACCTCCCCCACCACCCGGGTCATTGTGTACCTTCGGCCTCCAACTGGCAAACTTCGGCCACAGTTATCAGAAGCTTCTGGAGGTTCTTGGTCACGTTGGTCAGCGAAACGGGAGGTCGGGTGCCCAGCAGGAGCCTGGAGCGTGTCTTGTGCGTGCTGTCCCATTGTGTCTCAATGTGGTACACGGAGGCGTTCAGGGGATACAAGGCACCGGTCACCTGAGGAAAGGGCAGGTGTCATACAGCTGGCCAAGTAGCAAACCAATAGATGCAATCACACATGAGGGATCATTCAGCAGCTTAGCACGTCAAGGGCTAAACCTTCAGTTCTTATGCCCCTGACCTCTGGACTGCCTCCTTCGACCGTTCCATCTTCCATCTCCCACGCTCCCCATTTTCTGGACAGTGAAGGACAGTGAAGGATCTGCACCTGAGCTGAAGGTTGGAATCAAGAGGTGTGGAGAGCAAGGGAGGGTGGAGGTGGGAAGATGACCAAAGGCCCGCTCAAAGAGGACGGTCTTGAGACGGGCCTCGAAGGAGGCAAGGGAGGGGGCGAGTCGGACGGGCTCCACCATGGAGTTCCAGAGGGTAGGGGCAGAAAGGCTGAAAGCCTCACCGCCGATGGTGGAGCGGTTAGGGAGTGAGCGGACAGGTTGGTAAAGTTTTAATAGGTCGCAGAGGTTGGGAGGTGCAAGACCATGGCACACAGCAGTCCTCACAATTCAAACCTTTTTTTTTTTGAAAGTCAGTGGGTGTCTGACACACACGGAAACCCATCACAATGTTTATAAGGATCTCCGAACCGGACTGAGAGTTCCATATATGTATGTCACCTACACATGGAAATGTCCCTGTGTCTGGAATGGAATGCGCACTCTCTCCCTGGAGGGACGCACCTTGCTTACCTAATTCCTGAGAATATCAAGCTATGTGGGTTCTCGCTGGTTAGTCTCCACACCTGCAGAGCGAGAACCCACATAGCTTGCCATTGGAAACATTGCTTTGGCGAGCTTTCCTGTAGCTAGGAGCCATGAGGATTTTGGTTTGCAGGGATTAACAGGAGCCGAGTGGGAAGACAACCCTGCTCCCAGTGACACAATTGAACAAGTACGCACTGAAATAACATGAAATGAACCGTTTACTCACCACTGAGTGCAGAAATCTTAGGTGGTTCATGAGGTCCAGCTCTGCCTTCTCTCTAACGTCTTGCTTGATTTCAATCAGCAGGTGGAAGTAACCTTCTGCCACTGTAAGAGTCAAGTCGAGACATGCAACAATAAAAAATAAAAAAACCGTTGCTTTTGACTCAGCGACCGTAACGTTCGAACGTCCCAAAGTGATTTACAAGCAATTGTAATTAAACGTGACAACTAATTTTTGGGGGCGCAATTTTTTTTTTTTTTGAATCGTTTTAAAGAAAGATGCCACAATCAAGGGACCGAAGAAGGAATTGTACTCGGGTCCTCTCGCTTGCGAGGCGAGTGCTCTAACCCGTACTCTACAGGACTCGACTACAAAGCTTGTAGATGACATCTCTGGGTGTGAACTCTACTGCTAAAATAAAATAGCCCAGTGTTACCTGCTGGAATGGGCGAGGTGCACACTGATTCTCCTCTGAAGTTGCAGCACTTGTGCAGGTCTGGGCAGTCAGTGTCCCACCAGCACGTGTGGTTGGACCCACCACTGTCTTCGGTTGGACACTTCCCCGGATGTGAAGCGAAAACAGTAACCTTGTCTGAGGCTGAAGGAAATTAATGATAGTGACAATAATATTTTGCTTATTTGATACAACCCGTCTGTAACATCAAAAAGGTCTCAAAGCACTTCACAGGGAATTGCTGTCAAGTGCCGTGTCTGTACAAATAGTAAACGTTAACAGCAACAACTTGCGTCCTCTCTGCCCAGCCGCCCCCACCATCGGCTGTCGGGCCTTCAGCCTCTCTGTTTCCTCTGGTGGGGGAATCCAGAACAAGGATAATCTTAAAATTACAGTTAGGCCAACTCTCCTGCTCTCTCCGCTCGGCGGACTTCACATCTCTCATCCTGCCCACCCCATCATCGTCAGTCGGGCCTTTATACGTTCTGCCCCTGCTTCCTGGAACTCCACCAGGAGTGTCCCTTCAGGTTCACCCCTTCCCTGAACTCCTTCAAGGTCCATCTCAAGACCATCCTCATTGACCGTGCTTTTGGTCATTTTAGACATGAAGCTGTAACCATGTCATCTGTAGCGGCAAAGTTGATTTGTCACTGCAAATCTGTGTGTGTGTGTGTGTGTGTGCACCCGCAGGGTGGGGGGGAGGGATGTCAAATATCTAATGATCAACTAGTGACTAATCTCCCAGGGGAGGGTTCAGCTGGGTGTGGGTCGGTAAGTGGAATCTCTTTGCGACTGGGCTGGTACGAAGATAACATGCCTGGCAATGGAATGTCGAAATCAAGGCCACCTTCTGTGGCAGTCTTGGTAGTCCGGTCCCTAAGCCAGGTAGGTCCGCAGTATTCCAGTATTCCAGGGCACTGCTGATGACAGCACAGCCCAGCCCGGCTCATTGGCAGGACCTGGAAGAGCAGTCACTGGGAGCAGCTTCTCACTCCGCTCCTGTTATCCCCTGTAAGCCCTTTGGCGAGTAGGGTGGTCCTAGCTGGAATCAGTGGGAAACTTGTCTCTGCTCTCAATGACACGCAATGCGGTTTTAGCTGATTAGACTCTAGCAGTCACCCCAATCAACGCACACTCTGGGCTCCCCAAGCCTTAGCTCTTGTCAATCTGTGACTAATACTCTCCAGAGTTAGGTGAGCGGGGTTTGTCCCACTGGGGAGAGATAGCGCCTTCTGTTCCAAACAGGGGAAATTTCTGTGTGAAGCTGGATCTTGGTAGTTTGGCCCAGACGCTCTTAACAACAACAACAAGATTCCATTTATTGAGCGCCTTTCACGTCGGGAGGACGTCCCAAGGCGCTGTACAGTTGGGTCAGGACCCGAGCAAGGGGGAAATGGTCAGGGTGAGGGGAGGGAAGGGAGGGAGGGAGCGAGGAGGGGGTAGAGATTTGAGAGGGGAGCTGAAGGCATGGTCAAAGAGAAAGGTCTTGAGACCGGCCTTGAAGGAGGAAAGGGAGGAGGCAGAGTAGCGATGGTGGGCGTCAGTCCACCCGGCTGAACCGCCAGAAAAAAAAGGTCTTTAGGCAGTGGAGTTAAATGGGTAGCTCTCACTGAGAGCCAGCCAGACAGCAGGGGCCGAACGAATAAATGTTAACAAAGCTTGCATTCGGTACAGCGCCTTTCACATCAGGAGGATGTCTCAAGCTCCCTACTCGTCTCAAGTAACGCCGCAGGATCTTTAATGTCCACCCAAACAGTCAGACTGAACCTGGGTTTAACGGCTCATCCAATCGCCTGCACCTCCGACAATGCAGGGCTCCCCCTCCCCACCCGCCCTCGCCCCCCACTCCCCCACCACCACCCCCAACCCCACCCCACAGACACAGGCACACACCCACACCTTGGGCATTGCATTGGAGCATCAGCCAAGGTTGTGCGAGTTCAAAGCCCCTACGTGGACCTTGAACTCACAACCTTTTGACTCCGAAGCAAGAGTGCCACCGACTGATCTAGGCTGACACACAAATGCCCCCCACCACGCTCCCCTCCCACTCCCACACCCCCACCCTCAACACACACACACCACCCCACACCCTTCCTCCATCTACGTTGCAGTTTTATAATCATAATAACAAGCCCTGCATTTGATACAACACCTCATCACGTCTTCGAGGTGTTTCAAGCCCTTCACGGAATATACTGTAAAACAGATTGACTGTATAGCCTGTGGGCGAAACCCGGCAGCCGATTGCGCGCAGCAAGTGTCCCACGACCACATCCTGTACTCACGCAGCACACAGTGATGTCCAAGCTGCTCATAGCCTTGGCAACAGTCCACTCGGCTCTCCATGACTTCGACGTCAGTCGTTCGCTGCAGGGTCCTGTAGACCAGCTTCGGGCAGACCTTCCATGGGCACCAACCCCCACAGGAGTTGTAGGTGGTGAAGGACTTCTGATAGGTCACCGTCCTGGTGACGTTCACCTTCATGGAGCGCTGGCATAAGTTGAAGGAGTATCGAGAGAGTCCATTGTCTGAGACCGAAGGAGGGAGGGAGATGAGGGAAGGAGGAAGGTTGGGAGAGAGACAGGAAAGAATAGGGGAGGAGGAGAGGGGAAGAAATAATACGCAATAATAATAATCCTTGCATTTCATATAGCATCTGATCACGTCTCAAAGCACTTCGCGGAATATGGCTGTGTTGTCTTTAATGTGGTTTGACTGTGTATTTTGTGGGCGAAATGCGGCAGTCAATTGAAACCAATTGCACATAGCAGGGTCTCACAAACAGTGGTGGGTTGAGTGTCCAATTTTTTTTTGAGGGGAGGGGGTGGGATTATCAGCCCTGGAAAGCTAACAACTGGGTTGCTACTTACTGGTTAAGTTGGTGGCAAACCTAAACTTGCCTAAGGTTTTGCCCCAGCCCAGGAATTTAACCCTCGTCCTCTCGCTTGCGAGCTGAGTGCTTTAACCAGTACGCTGTGGGATTCCTCCAAAAGGAGCCAAGAAAATTAAGAACCTATCCCCCAGTTTTGTAACCCAGCCTGAAATTTGGCTCGGATTTTCAAAGTGTGCACAACACACACGGAGTCGTATTTATGATGTGATGCTGCCCTTTGCTCAGGGTGCTGTGGGATGTGGGTGGGGGGGTGGTGTGGGGTGAGGCGGGGAGGATGGTGGTAAGTCAGACTGACCGGCTATGGGGTCAGCCAATACACCCCATTGCTTTGCTCCGTTGGAGGTGTGGTTTGGGGGCTCCATTAACAGCCAGGAAAGCAACCGACTCAGTGGCGGCAGTCCACCACCACCAGCAAGTGAAGGACCATTTGGTATGTAGAATCTGGAGTCCTGTAGGGTGTTGGTTAGAGCGCTCGCCTCGCAAGGACCTGGGTTCGATTCCAGGGTAGAGTGAAACGTGGGCAAGTTTTCTTACTCCAGATGCCTCTGTCCACCTAGCAGTAAGTAGGAACCCGGTCGTTAGTCGATTGGCGGATTGCTTTTCTGGGGATAATAATCCCTTCAAAAAAAAAGAAGAATTTGGTCACTCAATCTGCAACTGTTTGTGGGACACTGCTGTGCGCAATTGGCTGCCGCGTTTCGCCCACAACATGCAGTTAATCCACTTTACAATATATCCTGTGAAGCGTTTTGAGATGTTTCAACAACGTGATAAGGCGCTCTATCAAATACAAGGATTGTTATTATCCACAATATATTAATTATCAGCATAATTGCAAGGCTATGGTCTTATATTACGGATTAGGTATCAGATTCCCCTCAGTGAGAATGCAGCAACTCAAGGCTCCCAGTTATGTGCTCTCACCAGCTGAACCCCAGCCTGTTATTCCCTCTCAGGTCCCATGTAATGACATGAACTCCTGGGGCTCCTACTTTAGCAGTTCGTAATTTCTCCTGCTTAACAAACCTTTTTATTTATAAGAACACTTAACATTTTGATACATCGCCTTATCACGAACATCTCAAAACGCTTCACCGGATTTACTGTAAAGTGGTGTGACTGTGTATTTGTAGGCGAATATTCCACAAAGAGCCATGAAGTGAAATGATCAATTTTTTGTTAAATCAAGAGAATTGTCAGCCAGGACACCAGGAGAAATCCCCTTCTCTTTTCAAATAGAGTCGTGGGACGTCCACCTGAACACAGGCACAGACGGGACCTGGGTTGACTTGAAACCCATGCCAACACCTTTAAGTCATCTTATCTCAGTCAGTAGCACTCTCGCTTCCGAGTCAGAGGTTTGTGGGTTCAAAGCCCCCAATTGAGGACCTTGAGTTCACAATCCTGGCTGATAATCCAATAAAACCCAGGGAAAGTGCTGTATTATATACTCCCTTGCCTCCTTCAAGGTCCGTTTCAAGATCCCTCCTCTTCAACCGCGCCTGTTGGCTCTCTCCTACCCCTCCACCCCTTCTGATCCCAACCCCCAGCTCGGGTGCAAAATGGAGGGGACATGAAAGGCGCTATGCAAACGTAATTTGTTGTTGTAATGCTAAAGGTGCCACCTTCTAAATGAGACTTTAAACCGAGGCCCCTTTTGTTAGTTCAGTTAGTTGTTGATGATACTAGAAAATAGAAGGGAGGTTCCACTGGTGTCCTGGCCAACAACCCATCTCCCCGTTAAATTGGTCATTCACTTCATGTCTGAATGTTGTGAAATAGCTGTGCACAAACTCGCTGCCACATTAGCCTACAGAAAGCAATCAGACAGCAGCGTGAAGTGCTTTGAGACACTAGCATTTCATGTTGTCGAGATGTCTTTAAGACGTTTTCACAGAATATACTATAAACTGAATCGACTGTATATTTTTGGGAGGTGAAACCAGCACAGATTGCGCACAGCAGTGGCCCACAGGCAGTCGTGGATTGAGTAACCAAATTATTATTATTATTTTTCTTTTAACGGATTATTACCCCGGAAAGTGATCCGCAAATCGACCAACTTAGTTTCCTACTTAGTGCTAGGTAAGCAGAGGCGTGTGGAGTGAGGAAACTTGCCTAAGGTTTTACCCTGCCTGCGAATCGAACCCGGGTTCCTCTCACGTTCGAGGTGAGTGTTCTGACCACTATGCCACTTTGACACATACAAGCAGGAGGTTACTCACAGGCGAAGAACTCGTCGTTGCTTCCCTCGGTATCTGTGGCTTGCAGCGCCAGAGCCAGCAGGGAAATACTTAATATCCTGATCATTATCCCGGCTTGCCGTGTCCCGAAATGTTTTCCTGGGACGCTCTCTCGTTCTTTTCCGTCAGTCAGCCATGGATCTGTGAGTAAATAGCTGGCAGGTTTCCCCCTCTTCTCTCTTTTCTCCCTCTTTCTTACTTTATCTCTCTCTCTCTCTCGGTCCTAAAAGACAATTATTTTTCAACGAAGGAAACAGCAGCCTATCACCTGAGGGGGTTTGCACCTGTGCACTCTCGTTCCTTTGTTCTAACACTTACCACCTCCTTTCCCCCCAACCCCCCCCCTCGCTCCCCCCACCACCATGCACCGCCTTCTCTCCGCTCCGCCCCTCAACCCACACCAACCCTCTTTTCATAATCTTCCACCACCTGCTTCACATGCCCCTGTCTGTCTGTCTGTCTGTCTGTCTGTCTGGTGGTGTATTTTTGTGCTCCAACTGTCCTGCCCCAAAGTTTCCTTCTTTTCAAAATAAAACCGACAAGTTATATTTACACAGTGCCTTTCACGTCGGAAGGACGTCCTAAGGGCTGGACAGTTAAGGCTTTGCACGCGAGCTGAGCTGGTTGGTTGGCATTAAACATACACTGCAATAAAACATCTCTCGTACCCGTCATTTTCATTGCTTCAGCAAATGCAGGGCGGGCCTGTTAGAACCTGCCCTGGTTGAGTGTGTTTTCAGTGTCCAGCCGTGACTAGACAGCTTCCACGCCCACAAAATAATAACAATCCTTGCATTTGATGCAGAGTCTTATCACGCCTGTGAGACGTCTGACCAAAATAGTCAATGACTGAGCCACTGACTACCTTCAGGTCACACAGCTGACATCAATTCATAGAATCATGCATGCAGAAGAAATTATATGTCAAAGCGCTTCACAGGGCAACTGTGGTCAAGTGTAGCGACTGTGTATTTGTAGACAATCTTAAAAGCCTATTTGCACATAGAAAATACTCTCTGCTCCGCCCCTTGTAGTATACATAGTAGCTCCCACAATTAGCCTTGAAGTGAATGATCAATTAATTTAGAGGATTGTTGGCCAGAAGAAGATCCTTTCTCTTTTCCAACAGGACGACAGGATCTTTTAATGTCCATCTGAACGAACAGACAGGAACTAGGTGTAACGTCTCATCCAAAGATGACACCTCCGTCAATGCAAGGCTCCCCATCCCCAGCACTGTGCTGGAGTGTCAGTCTAGCCTGTGAGCTCAAACTCCCCAATGTGGGACTTGAACTCACTGCCTTCTGGCTCAGAGGCGAGAGCGCTACTGCTGTCAACACAAGTCCAGTCACACGTTGGTGCAGATTTCATTCCAGTGCTTAATGAGGAGTCCCGTAGAGCACTGGTTAGCCCACTTGCCTCGCGAGCGAGGACCCGGGTTCGATTCCCAGACAGGGCAAAACTTTTGGCAAGTTTCTTACCCCACATGCCTCTGTTTACCCAGCAGTGAGTAGGAACCCAGTGTTTGGTTGATTTGAGGATCGCTTTTCCGGGGGTAAAAATCCCTTAAAAAACTAACAATTTGGTCACTCAATCCACTTAACGGTACATCCCGTGAAGCGCTATTGCGACGTCTTAATGACGTGATGAGGAGCTATATCAAATGCAAGAATTATTGTTATATTCCAGTGCTTAATGATGGCTCAAATGGCTTGTTATGCCGAACAGCCTTTCAGCGGCAGCCTAATAACAAAGCCTCCTGGGGCCACAGGTGGTGCCACTAGGGAGCGGGTACCAGGGCATCATCAGTGCGTGGCAACCGACACCATGGCAACTCCTGGCAATAGGACCGGGCTCAACAGCAGCGACACAACCGAGCACAACTAAAGAAGGATATGAAGAAGGTGTCATTTCAAAGCAAGAACCCTCCATAACACACACACAGCCTTGGGACGCCCTCCCAACGTGAAAGGCACTATATAAATGCAATTCTGCATTGTCAGAGGTACCGTCCTTCACACGAGAGGTTAAACCGAGGTCCCGTCTGCCTGTTCAGGTGGACGTTAAAGATCCCGTGTCGCTATTCGGAAAGAGAAGGGAGTTTCCCTCTCTCTCCCAGTGTCCTGGCCCCCCAAATAAAATCGGTCATTCACTCCATGGCTGTTTCAAGGTCCAAATCCTTGACTAATCCAATGCCTTTGGACGTCCTCCCGACGTGAAAGTGCTATATAAATGTAAATTGTTGCTGTTGTTTGTGAGACACAATCAATCCACTTTACAGTATATCCTGTGAAGCGCTTTGAGACGTCAAAGATGTGATAAGGCGCTGCATCAAATGCAAGGATTAT